TTTTGTTTACTAACTTGTTTTCAGGGGAGATAAGTGAAATCAGAAGACATTCTGGGAAGGGAAAATATACTCAGTGTATAGAAAAAAAAAGGTTTCATTAAATTCTACTAAAAATAAATAAAAATAATCAATATAATATATATATATATATATATATATATATATATATATATATATATATTTAATAGGCTAGCTAATGGAATTTGAAGGATAAGAAGGCAACAGAATGATAACAATATTGGCAATAAGATTGATGATATTTATTCTATATCAGTCATTTGACTAAATTGAGAGTGTACATTCATATATATATACACACAGACACATATATATATATATATATATACATATATATATATATATATATATAAAAGAAAAAATGATAATTAATCTTAGCCTACAAATTTCACCTCTGATGGTCTTTAGTAAATCAAATGTAAGAGGACATAACGTTATCTATTTTATATTGTCCTTTTACAAATATATATTTAGTTACATACATATATATATATATATAAATATATATATATATATATATATATATATATATATATATATATATATATATAGCACACACACACATATATATAGGGGCTGATGATAGCCGATACAGAATGAAATAAACTATCCTCTTGCTGTAAAATATATATATATGTGTGTGTGTGTATTTGTGGGTGCATGTGTATCTGTGTGTGTTTGTACAAACAATACTGAAAAAAATTTAACCAATAATAAATGTGTTAAAAAAGAAATGATACAAGGAGCAAATTACTGATACCTGCTAAAGAGTGGATGGACATGTCCGCCTACGAAACTCTGGAGTCAGGATGCTGAAGCTAACATCAATCACCTAAGTGACAAACTTTTACTTATATTAATTCTCTCTCTCTCTCTCTCTATATATATATATATATATATATATATATATATATATATATATATATATATATGAAAGAACAAATAAGAAATGTTTATCAATCATGTTTAATTTTTATTAAAGCTTCTTCAGAGACTGAGATATTTGAGACAAAGAATAAAGAAAGTCTGATATGTTTTTCTTTTGTGCTGCTTACCTACATACATAGGATGAAATGGAACTAATGTCTTTAATTCAATTACAAAATTAATTTCTAAGCTTTTAGCTTCCATTTTTGAAACATGGTTAGAACTGTGTAGCAAAAAAAACATATTTTAAATCAGTTAATTTATAATATTATGCTCTGTAAATTTACATTGAGCACAATTTTGTAAAATAAAAATATCTATAAGAACACCTATAAGAACGGATTATATATCTTACTGTTCTTTCTTTTTATTTATATATACATATATATATATATATATATATATATATATATACACACAATCTTGCATATATATATATATATATATATATATATATATATATATATATTAGTTATTAAATTTTATATTACAATTTCCACTGCTTGCATTTTCTGTAGATTTTACAAGCATGTAAACTGAAGCAATGTTAAAGAACCTTACTATGCTTATTCACTAACATAAATATTATTGATTTTACTAGTAAACAAAAATGACTATTCATCCAAAGTCTTCCTTATTTTTTTTTTTTTTCTTTTCGGTCAGTAGTCATTCCTTCCATTTAGATGAGACATTTTCCATAATCAATTTTTGCTGGAAATTATGGTCATTTCCCATGTTTTTGAAATTGCGAACAATTTTTACCTTGTTAACTTTAATCAATCATTTCCCCAAGTAATTCAAATATTAAAAATATTTTTTTCATAAAATATAAAAAAAATTAATAATCAAATCATTTGTCCATACTGTAATTTTAATTTATGTAAATATTTTGGTTATGAATTTTAAAAACATCATAACCAAATTAGCAAAAATTAAAAAATGCTATAGTTGGTAAATATATAAGACAATTTCAAAAACTTCTATATTAACATATCAAGTGGCATGATCAAAAAATTTTATATATATATATATATATATATATATATATATATATATATATATATAAATATATATATATATAAATTTTTTTTTTTTATGTACGTTTGATTGAAAAACAAATGAGAGCTTCTTATTTAGAAATTTTATTAATTTTCTGGTTTAGACCATTTTCCCTCAAATCAAGAAAATTTTCTGAACTGAATTAAAGAAAAAATCTAAAGAAATGATACATATATTTATATATATATATATATATATATAGAGAGAGAGAGAGAGAAATTTTTTCTTTCGGATTTTCTTTAATATATATATATATTATATATAAAAATATATATATATGTTAATATATATATATATATATAAAAATATATATATATATTTTATGTATGTATGTATGTATGTATGTATATATATATATATGTATATATATATATTCATATGGCAGTAAAAGAGCGCTATTAGAGCCATTGGCATCTGGTTGATTTTAAATCAGCCCACTCTGAATAAATCTGTTTTTTTTTGTTTTTGTTTTATTTTTGTTTTTTTTACTGCTTTGTATGGCGTGTTACCAATAAAAAAACTAAAATTAAAAATTATTTCTTCCATATAAAAAATATGCCCTGGCCTGATGATTCCTGTTCATGAAGTGAATCATTTTACGCACACACACACAGACATATATATATATATATATATATATATATATATATATGGGACAAAATGAAAGAGCTTTTTTAATGACTCATGTTGGTGATGTCTGTTACGTTTGGCTTTCTCATGTTGGAATGAAAGACAAAACAGTGTGTAAGGAGAATATGTTAGAATTTTTGAGAATGAGAGTGTGTTGGCTTACTTCCTCCTAATTTTCCAATCTGCTCTTAGGAGATGGTCTCAGGACTATAAATACTCTGTGATAATTTTTTATCACTCGCTTTTTAATTTTTTCTGCTTACTCATTAACATGTAAATCTCTTGTAGAGAACACACTTCCTTTTGGGAAAAACATGAACATTACCTACGCATATTCATTCACTACACATACTTTGCACCCAAAAAGTTTTCACATTCATTTGTTTCACAGATTATTGTGTTTGTCACTTGTACACCTTTGTTAATACATTATCATTTGTTTGTACGTAAATATATTCATTCTTGTCATTTCTTTTTGTTTATTTACATTTATTTATACAATCTATGTGAGTCTGCCATGTTTGTTGTGGCCATTTCACGAGACACGTATTTATTTCTCAACCCTAACACTGACATTACCAATGCCCACAATAAGTTAGGAAATGTCTACACCGGCCCGCAACAAGGCCAATAAATTAAATTACCTTATCAGATCCGAAGACCAGAGACTAGAAAATGTTTGCTGTCTTGTTATATAAAACTGTCGATGTCTGCCCAATTTTAAATCATCTCAATAAAACCAGAAATTGTTTTTTTATAATACTATATCTTGTTACACCCTGTGTACTATATATATATATATATATATATATATATATATATATATAAAATACACTAACAAGAAGCCTTACACTTCACATGTCTGACCATTCATCCATCGTGAGACATCTACAAACTGGCAAACTATACATAAAGAAGGATCCTTATCTTTTATGGAACATATGTTTATTTATGTATATATGTATGTCCTGTCATGTGTGTATATATATATATTTATATATATATATATATATATATATATATATATATATATATATATATATCTATGATAATATTCTGTCTGCATTCATAATATAGAAAATTACTAATCGACAACGCAACTATCCTACATCATGAAAACAACAAATTTAGATTACATATACTGGAAGCAATTTACATTAAAAAATTAAATCCAGCACTGAACAGAATCAACTATGAATACTGCAGTAATGTTCGGAAATGCCTGTAAAGGAACAGTTTTTTATACTTTAATGCATGCGTGACCATGACATTATAACATTGAGAGAAAAAATTCCATAATGGATAATTTTTTCACATTCTAATGAGCACTCAGCACATTGTCAACCATTTTGCATTTAAAAGCATAATGAAAAATTATGGTAATGGATAACAATGCACATCTTTATATAAATACTTATACTTATGAACAACATATAGTTTTGTGCCACTTGCATCCCTGAAGATGATCTTGAAAGAAGATCGAAAGCACTTGGGAAATGAAAATAAAAGAAATTTGAACAGCTATAGTACATTTCTCTCACCCTTTGATACCAATACACGGAAGGTTATTCGTGAGTATGAGCAGATTTTATTAAAATCAGCAGACATAATGTCTGTAATTTATTCAATCAGACATGCCCTAAAGAGAATTTGCTGTCTAAATACACATTATATATATATATATATATATATATATATATATATATATATATATATGCTTGAATAAACTGAGAAGTTCTTACATCTTTCTTGTATGTGTTCTTGTGATTTCTTCTCCTGACTTAATGAGTGTAAAAATTTTCAAAACGTTTGTTAATTCTGAGCATTTTCAGAAAACTATTAATCGTTATGAAGGATTTTAATTATATTACTATAATAAATGGTGTGTATTTCTGTTGCAGACAGTGTAAAATTTGTCTATATTTGAGATGAGGTATTGTAACTATTTACACTATTTTATATATATATATATATATATATATATATATATATATATATATATATATATATATATATATATATATATAAAAAGCTTAAACACTAATATTCCGTCATAATTTATTCCATTCATCAGACCTACAAATTTTTTGAATTTGTAGGTCTGATGCATTGATTGTATTTACGAATCAATGGAATAAATTATGGCCATGGAATATTAGTGTTTAAGCCTTTATTATATCCTTTACTCTGTCCTGACATTGAGTTCTACCTGGATTCTATCCTCTGAATTATTTTTATACATATATATATGTATGTGTATGTATGTATGTATATATATTTATATAGTTCAGATATATGATTGCATGATCTGAACAGACATAGATTGATAGATAGATAGATCTGTGAAAGATACCTAAATAACAAACTTAGATAGATAGATAGATAGATAGATAGATAGATAGATAGATAGATATGAACATAGATAGATAGATAGATATGAACATAGATAGATAGATAGATAGATAGATAGATAGATCTGAACATAGATAGATAGATAGATAGATATGAACATAGATATATAGATAGATAGATCTGAACATAGATAGATAGATCTGAACATAGATAGATAGATAGATAGATCTGAACATAGATAGATAGATAGATCTGAACATAGATAGATAGATAAATAGATAGATAGATAGATCTGAACATAGATAGATAGATAGATAGATCTGAACATAGATAGATAGATCTGAACAGAGATAGATAAATAGATAGATAGATAGATAGATAGATAGATAGATCTGAACATAGCTAGATAGATCTGAACAGATAGATAGATAGATAGATAGATAGATCTGAACAGAGATAGATAGATAGATCTGAACAGAGATAGATATATAGATAGATCTGAACAGAGAGAGATAAATCTGAGATAGATAGAGAGAGAGAGAAAGAGAAAGAGATATATCTGAACAGAATGACGTAGATAGATATGAGATAGATATGAACAGAATGATGTAGATAGATATGTAATGTGTAGTCCTATTAATATGCATATTGTACAGAACATATATATATATATATATATATATATATATATATATAAACCCATGAATCCATATGTATTGCTATGATAAATTAATTAAATTTTAATTATACTTGTCTTATTTTAAAACAATGTCCAAAAATAACAACAGATGTTCAAGTTAAACGTATCAGTTCCTTCTTTTTAATTAAATTTATTTTCCAAAACTTATATTTGAGAATTTGTAAATTTAAATTGCTAGAATCAAATTGATCAGACATCTTCTCTGAGCTTCCTCAAAGTAGAGACAAACTTCCACATACATACACATTTCACAGTGGACATACACTTGGAAACCTCCTGACAAGTGGACTGAACAATTACAAAAGCATTCATCTCCGAAACTCCAGAGCTAAGGTACTGAATATATCAATCAGCAAAGTGACAAACTTTATATTTGTAATAATACTATATATATATATATATATATATATATATATATATATATATATATTTTAATGAATATATGTATCTATCCAACGTTGATAGCATGACTTGGAGTTTCATATCAGTTTGCAATCTTCTCAAAGAATATA